GGCATTAAGGACTGCCCATTCTTGTACATACCAATCACCTTCTTGGTGTCTGGTTTTATTATATTAATAGTATCTCTTGTTTACTGATCTAAAAGAAAAAAAGAAAAAAAAGAAAAAACCGAAGAGTGGACCTGGAGTTGCAACGGTAGGCTCATAGGTTAAGAAGTATCCTAAAGAGCTAAGTTAGTGGCTCAATAAGCTAAGTTGACGGAAGAAATCCAAATAGATAGAAAAACTAAATTATTAAGCCAAATGTAACGAGAGGATGTACTTATGACCGGGTAAAAACACTTACCCAAGTTTGGCTTGTGAAAGAATCTAGACAATCCAAGCCAACCTTAAGATAACGGATTGAGTAGTCGAAAACCATTATAAAACCCTTTATACAATCAATGTGGGATTTTTTATATCTCTTAACACCTTCTAACAAACATTACCTAATTAGTGTTACTTAAAAGCATCATGAATGTACCTTGCACAAGTTTTACTTAGTTTTGTATATGAAGTTAGCCTAGGATCTCATGCCATAAAAGGCGTACTTCTAACTCAGCCAGTCCAATCAGCGTATGGAAGCCTTCTGAAGATTTGAAGTGGTAGGAGGGAAAAGTTCAAAATTCATACAGCTTTCACTTTGTTTATTCTTCACACCAACCATCATATTTCTTCCCTCCGATTTTTCACCACAGCATATAAACACTTCATATAATCTAAATTTAAAAAAAAAATTCTATCCACTGCAAGGTTTCTTGCTAGCAATATAATTAAGTAAACAAGATCTCCAAATCTAACTAACAGTTATGAAGACCAAAACTTGCACCACTTTAGAAACTTCTTTCATTTAAATTGATGTATAACCATCATTTCCTAGCTTAAAAAAAGGGATCAGATCACAATGAATATTACTGCATTCACTCTAAGAACTACAGAACAATAACATTAAAAGATATGCTCAAAGTAACAGCATTGTGCTCTTACACTTTATCTTCAACCACAGCAAAACTCAAAAACAACTAGAGTTTTCATAGAGATCCATGAAATACTAACAAGGACAATTCAATGGATATAGTCAAGGAGATTTTCTATCTACCAGGTCTTACTTTTTTTGTTGGTATTTCATGTATATTCTCTATGTAAAAGATAACAAATTTTTTCCATTACCATGCTTTTTTTTTTCTGCCCGGATATCATAATGAAGAGCTTTACCCCCATAAAAATGTCAACAGAAACGGAAGAAAAAGTAATAAACTAGAAGATCTACTAGTATCCAAAAACAGATCTGCAAACCTCCCACAAAAGAAATAATTAAAGAAAGTGGTGAATCAAGTCACAATTTTGGCAACTGATTAGTCCAAGCAACTTAAACTTGCCAACTAAGCTCACTCCAGATATCTAAAACGGAAAAATAAAGCCTATCTTATTGATATTCTTGTCAGTTCTAACATTACCAAAAAGCAACAGATCAAACAATACCATTTATATCTAAGGAAAGCATATGCAGAACACAATCCAAATCAACAAAAGCAAATTCTAACTGCATATGGGGGCGAGTTGAGTTACAGGTACGGGCAATAACTAGGTACGGCCAATAACTTTGGCTCAACCCCTTATATGTGTTAAAAAATTCATCAAATAAGTACAAATATTTGATTTAAACCCATTAAATCAAATGAATTATGGTAGAATCCCGAACTCGAAACAATAAAGTTCAAATCTTGGATCTGCTTCTGACCGCAGAAATCAAGAAGTAGCTATAGTAGTACTCCCCGAGTCCCAATTTACATGACTCTTTCCTATTTAGTCTGCACCATAATAATGTCACATTTCTATATTTAGAACAATTTAACTTTAAAATAGAAACCATTAAATATATATGTATAAACATTCAATTACAAACTCATTAACAAGGACGAGTTATCAATTCGATGGAAAGTTTAGAACACATAACCTTCAAATCCTGGCTCGCCCTCTATAGCGAGATATTTATGGATTATTTTGGACCAAAAATTCTAAAAGTCTATTTTTTTTTTTAAAGCTCTGCGTCAAATCAAACATGGCCACATAAATTGGAACGCGAAGTAAAAAAGGAAAGCTAACCTTCGCCAATCGCGTAAGGCAAAGCCTTCCTCACGCATTTCAGTAGGAGGAGGAAGTACCGGTCCATCGGAGCTGAATATTCCATCGCCGAGATCGTGGGCCCCACTATTTCCGTTGGAGATCGGAACATCGGAGGAGGTGTCGTCGAAAGGAGTTGATGATTGGTTCGGGTACGGATTCGACCCGAACCCGTAGGGATCGACCTGATCCACTGTAGCTTCCTCATAGCTGCCGTCCATGTTGAATGAATCAAACGAAGCCATTATTTGGATCTCTTCTTATTTAT